ATATATATATATATATATATATATATATATATATATATATATATGTATATATATATATATATATGTATATGTATATGTTGTATCTATATGTATCTGTCTCAATGAAGCAAACAACAGCCTGGCGCTCCTTTTCTTCTTTGTTTAACTCATCGCAACAAAAAGGAGACAGAGACAGCTGGTGCTGCTCCCCCTAAACCCTAAACCCTAAACCCTAAACCCTAGACGCTAAGCAACAAGGTGCAAACCCTAGAGGCTGTGGATGCCTACTGAGTAAGAGAAGAGACAGAGACAGAAGAGACAGATTAGGATTATAAAGGAGACAGAGACAGAAGGAGACAGAATAAGAAAAGTAAACAAAAAGGGAGAGAGAGACAAAAGGAGACAGAAGAAAAACACCACAGAAACGGAGAGAGAGACAGATAGAAAGAGGCATATCACACATAACATACAGAGAGAGAGAGAAAGAGAGAGAAAGAGAGAAAGAAAGAAAGAAAGAAAGAAAGAGAGAAGGAGAGGGAGACAGGAGACAGCCCGGGGGGCATCATCTCATCGTCTCCCCGGGGATCGTCTGCTCCCCCCTGGGATCGTTTTTTTTCTATCGGGGGATCGTCTCCCGTGGGGTGTTGCCCCCTGGGATCGTCTCTTCACCCCTGGGGATCGTCTGCTCCCCCCTGGGATCGTTTTTTTTCTATCCCGGGATCGTCTCCTGTGGGGTGTTGTGCCCTGGGATCGTCTCCCTGGGGATCGTCTGTTCCCCCTGGGATCGTCTGTTCCCCCCGGGGATCGTTTTTTTTCTATAAGGGGATCGTCTCCTGTGGGGTGTTGTCCCCTGGGATCGTCTGCTCCCCCTGGGGATCGTCTCCCCGGGGATCGTCTCCCTGGGGATCGTCTTTTCTCCCCCGGGGATCGTCTCCCGTGGGTTGGCCCCTCGTTGGCTGTTCTCTTCTCCCCTGGGATCGTCTCCCTGGGATCGATCCCAGCTCCCCCCCTCCCCCCAGCAACACCCTGGGGCTGCAGTGTCTGTCTCCTTTCTGCGTGGGGGCCGTCGTGCGGCCCCACAAGGGCCCCTGAGAGACTATAAAGAAATAAAAAGGAGACAGATATATGTGCTGCAGCGAGAAGAAGACAAAGAAACACAGAGCATTCGGATCCCCTGCTGCTGCTGCTGCTCCAGCAGCAGCAGAAGGAGTACT